CGGAGTCTAGAGGCCAGGTAGAACGAGATGGCTGTGTCAGGACCCCAGGCCTGAGCTGACAGCTTGGGATCCCCTTCTCGGCTGCCTAAGGCTCTGAATGAGTCCTCACTTGGGGGTTTTCAAAACGGATTGAAATGTCAGTGCAGCTTCAAAGAAGGCTTCTAATGTAACTCTCTCCCTGACTGCAGATAAGGATGGACCCCCTGAAGGGACTGGTTGGCTATGTGAGCTTTGTGAAGTTTGTTTCAACTTTGAACAGCATGAAAGGCAACAGTCCCAGTCCCTTCTTGGCTAGGACGTAGTCTGTCCTGCCTTATCTCAGAGAAACGTCACCTGAGGATGCAGACCTGAACTCCGTCCAAAGCCTGTCAGTGTTCAGGTCGCGGTCCAGGAAAGCAGCATAGGGTTTATAAGAATAAACCTGGAAGCCAGGCTGCCCAGATCTGGGTCCAGTGCTGAGTCCACTGAGAGAGCCACACGACCAGGCTGAGCTCTAGTCTCCTCACCGCAGAATGGGAATAATAACAGCGTAGTTTCTACTTTATAGGTGAGTGTGAGGAATAAATGCGGTGAGTACGTGCAGATCTTTAGAACACACGCGTTAGGCTGAATCACAGGAAATTGCCATTTTGATGCATCTAAAATGACTATTGTTGATTTCCTGTGGTTTAACCTATACTAAAAACTCAACACGCATTGTCATCTAGACATTCTGGCACCCGGTCAGCGTTTGCCCAGCAAGTGACAGAGGGTGCAAGGCCGGGTCCCCCACAGCCAGCCTCGCTCTCCCTCCTGGTTTGTTCTCCCTCCTCTTCTTTCGCTGCTGCCAGTGTCAGGTGGCCGACCACAGAGGCACCCTGCTCCTGTCTCTACCAGCCGGAGCCTGGAAACCCTGACCTGTCCTCCTTACCAACTTACAGTTGGCTAGAATGTTCAAAAAGTTAATTTTGCTGAGAAGTTAAGACAACATTAAAAAAGAAAAAAAAGAGTGCAAGAATGCCTGGTTACAAATGAATAGGATAGGATTAAAAGCAAAAACAAACAAAAAAATAAAAATCTGAACATTAAACAAAGAAGCTCAAACAAACAGCTTGAGGAAAGAATTAACTTGGCAATGTTTCTAAGACTAATGGGATCCTCATACCCTGCCCAAACTACTTCTGGTCTAATCTCTATGTAGGGGCCACTCTGGTGTCCCCTCTGGCCTCTGCTCTGTACAGCTCCCCTGGCCTCTGTGCAGAGTCTGACTACGGCCCTGAGAAGGAAAAACTTCTTCCCTCCACGGCCTTCAGGAATTCTGACCTGAGCTCTGACCACTGGCACTGGCCTGTGAGGTTCTCAAAGCCTCTCTGTATCTGTGTCTTGTATCTCCTGCCCTCCACCCTCCATCACTCAGGCTTGGGGTCCCTGCCACCCCACTCTCCCTGTCCATTTTTTTGTTTTGTTTTGTTTTGTTTTAATTTGAACCGAACACACTAGGCAGCAGCTATGTAGACCATTTCTCCCCTTTCACGACAGAAGGCTGCTCTACCTGTGCCATAATCTTCTGAAAAATTCTAGGGCTCTCAGCCAGCCAGAAGCAGACTCTGCCCTTTCCTGTTTCAAAGGCCAGCTCCACCCACTTGCGTGCCCACTCACTTCCTGTTTCCTGTTGAAGGCACACCCTCGGCTCTCACTTTTTTCACCCAGCAAAGATGACAGATGTGTCCTGAATAGCTGAACTCAAATAACCCCTCCTTCATTTTTCTAGACCATTCCCTGGTTACTCATCACTCAGGTATTTCTAAGGGAGGGACGGAATTCTCTTTGATAGGCCCCTAATTACACACTTACTGTACATGGTGTTTCATTTTTGCAATAACATTTGGTAGAGTTTTTTTTTTTAATATAGAAAAACATAAAGAAGAAGTAAAGCAGTTGATAATCACAGCTTAGTTAACCATGTTTTTTTTAATAAAACCACGTACCAGGAAAATTCAGTTTAGAAAAGTTTAAATTCCACCCCCCCACTATACTCCTCGCCGTAAGCTAATCACTGCTAGCATTTGCTCATGACTCCTGCAGAAAATAAGTCTTATAATTATATATGCATGCTTTTTCTGTATTGCTGCCCTGTGTGGCACTGATTCATTATAACACGATTTGCCCATGAAGTATTTTCCTAAGAAATAACTCATATACATAAACTAGTGAGCTGTGATACTTTGCTCATCCTCTGAGGCTGTCTCATGTACTCAGCCAATCCTAGCACTTGTTGTATTACATTCTTGGCTAATGAGCGTTAGTCTCCTGTTCAGAAAAACTCTCAACTAGTGAGTCCTTTCTCATGTAATACAAAATTCACTCCGTTCAACCAATTATTGGCTTACTCCCTATAGGTATCCCCCCCCCCCATTTAGTTTGTGTTTTGGCCAATAGTTTTGACCAAGAACGGCTGACAAAAACTGAACAAGTATTTGACTGAACTTGCTGCAAATACACAAAAGAAGTGTATCCTGAACATAGTACTTATTAAAATCCAGTTTCACAGGGGCTTCTCCCCGATTCAAGTCAATGGTTGAGGAGAGAAAGGATTAAAAAAGGGGGGTTGTACTTCTGCTCAACATTGTACTGGAAGTTCTAGAGAAGGTAATTAGGCAAGAAAGTGAAATAAAAGACATCCAGGAATGAAAGGAAGAAGTAAAACTATCTTTTTGCAGATGACCTAATCTTATAGACAGAAAATCCAAAGGAATCGCCCCTCAAACACTGTGAAAACTAATAAACAAGTTCAGCAAGGTTGCAGGACACAAGAGCAATATACAAAAGTCAATTGTATTTCTATACACTATCTGTATATAATCTGAAAAGGAAATTTAAAAAACAAATTCATTTATAATAGCATCAAAAATGATTAAATATTTAGGAATAAATTTAACAAAAGAAGTATGAAACATATACTGGAAACTATAAAACACTATTAAAGGAAATTAAAGAAGAGCTAAATAAATGGAAAAACATCTTGTATTCATGAATTGGAAGACTTAAGGTTGTTAAGATGCAATGGTCTCTACACCAATTCACGAATTCAGTGTAATCCTTGTCAAAACTTCAGCTGCCTTTTTTTTTTTTGCAAAAATGGACAAACTGATCCTAAAATTCATATGGAAATTTAAGGGGCCCAGAATAGCCAAAACAAAACTGAAGAAGAAGACCAAAGGTAGAGTACTCACACTTCTGAATTTCGATACTTACTACAAAGCAACAGTAATCAGACAGTGTGGTACTGGCATATGGACAGACTTATAGATCAATGGAATAAAATTGACAGTCTAGACAAAGACCATTTCATTTATGGTCAGTTGGGTTTTGACAAGGGTGCTACTACTATTCAATGAGGGAAAGAATATTCTTTTCAACAAATGGTCACAGGACAGTTGGTTATCCACATGCAGAAGAATGAAATTAGACCATCTGCTTCATACCACATACAAAAACTGACTCAAAGGCCTAAGTTTAAGAGCTAAAAATGTAGAACTATTAGACAAAAAGCCAAAGATATAAGTCAGTATGATCTTTGAATAAGTAAAAGCTTCTTAGTTACCTCAGCTAAAGAGGGTCCAAAATCAAAGAGGGGGAAAAATCAATAAATTGGACTTTATCAAATCTTCAAACTTTTGTGTTTCAAAGGACTCTATCTAAAAAGTGAAAAGACACCCCTCAGAATGGGAGAAAATATTTGCAAATCGTATATCTGAGGGACTTGTATCCAGAATATATAAAGAACTTTTACAGCTCAACAATCAAAAGACAAACAACCCAATTGAAAATGGTTAAAGGATCTGAATAGACATTTCTCCAAAGAAGAAATACAAATAGCCAATAAGCACATAAAATGCTTGACGTGATTAGCCATCGAGGGGAGTGCGTCAAACCCTCAATGAAATACCACTTCATACCTGCTAGGACAGCTGTAATGGAAACCACAAGAACAAGTGTCAGTGAGGATTTGGATAATTAGAACCCTTGTACACTGTTGGTGGGAATGTAAGATGGCGCAGCTCCCCTGGAAAGCAGGCCAGCAGATCCTCAGAAGGTTAAACATAGGGTTACCATATAAATCAGCAATTTCACTCCAAAGTATATACAAGAAGTGGAAACACAAGTCCACACAGAAACGTGAACATGAATGCTCATAGAAGCATTATTCTTAACAGCCAAAAAGTGGAAACAACCGTAATGTCTGTCAACAGATGAATGGATAAATAAAACGTATATCCATGCAATGGGATATTAGTCAGCCATTAAAAGCAATGAAGGGCTGATAATGTGTACGAAAGTGGACAAATCTTGAAAACACTATGTTAACTGAAAGAAGCTGTACACAAAAGGCCACATATTGTATGATCCCATTTATCTGAAATATCCAGAATAGGCAAATCTTTGGAGACAAGAAGTAGATGAGTGGTTGTTGTCTGGGGCTGCAGGGGAAAAGATGGAATGTGACTGCCAGTGGTTATGGGGTTTCTTTTGGGGGTGATGAAAATGTTCTGGAATTAGTAGTGGAATTAGAACCAGTACGTGATGGTTGCACAACCTTCTGAATGTACTAAAAACCACTGAACTGTACATTTTTTAAATGGTGAATTTTATGATATGTGAATTATAATCTCGATTTTTAAAAGAGAGGAATTGATAGAAATCACTGGATGTTCTATAACATAAGATCATTGTAGCTTCAGCAGGGTTGACCAGCAAGTGTTTGGAGGAGAGATGAAAGAAGAAATTATGGCAGGAGGCAGCCGGTGTCCTCAGGGCATTGGATGAGAACTGAGGAGCCATTTCTAGTGCTGGATGCCAGGAAGACATCTCCTTAGTGTCTGTGGTGCAACAAGCCCCACACAGAGATGATTCACTTGCAGGAAAGCATCCCTCAAGTACAAGTGTGTGTGTGTGAATTTTTTCCACCCTCTATGATCCTTACCATTGTTCTGTTATCGACACATGTGGGTCTTTTTGGGTTTTTTTTAAACTGCTACAGAATATTCCAGGATATGAACATTCCATGACTAACTAACCATTGGTTAACCATTGGAAGCTTTGGTAATTTCCAGTATTTTTGATTTCACAAACGATACCGTGGTAAACAGTCTTACACTTACTATTAATGCACCGCATGTTACATGTAAGACCCAGAGAGTACGCAGTTGCCCGCAAGACTGAGGAGAGAGCTGGTCTCCCAACTAGTCGTCCCGTTTTACATCCTGGTTGGGCTTCAGACTCAGGCGAGCCCTCCGTCGCCGCTGCCTCTCGTCCCCAGCACCGTGCAGCCTCCACCGAGGAGGGAAAAGTCCTTCTCCGGCTCCCACAGACCATCTGCTCCTCTTTGAGTCATAAGACGAGCCGATCCTTCCCATTATCTCGGCACACATGCTGTTGGTGTTCAAAACGTGCTTCCAGCCTCCCCTTGTAAAATGAAGTCAGTGTTTGTCTCATTTGCCTCTTTCCGAGATAGAGTCATGGGGTTTTTTGGGGTTTTTCTGACACATTACAGAAAAAGTTTTCCATTTTTACCCTTTCTACTTTGGCTTCCTGTGATTTTTCAGGTTCTCTGTATTCCTGTGTGCTGAATGTGTAGAGCGGACTGACAGCCTGTGTTTCATTATGATCACTTCAGCCCTGAATAGCAGGCGGTCCCTTTTACCCTGGCTCATGAGGACAGGCGTTCAGATGTGGTGCACATGCACCCTGGAACACAACACTGCAAAAAACATAATGAGAGCCTTGTAGTGCATGAATCCTATACTCGTTAGCTAAGTCTATCCCCGAATATATGTGGTTGAATAAAATTCAGTTATGGTGCCTCTAATTCATTTAGGTTTTTTTTAAATCAAAGTCACCTTTGGTGGATTTAGCGAGGCCAAGACTGCATAGCAAACCTACTGACTCCACTGCAGTGGATGAATAAAGTTTTACTTCTAAGTGCTGCAGCTTAAATATATTCTGGGCTATTTTAGCTCATAAAGTCATAGAATATTAGGGTCAGAAAGGACCTTAAAAGTGATTTTGCCTAACCTTGCATATCCGTGACAGCCACCCAGCTTCTAACTGAGTATTCCCAGGATCCAGATCTCACCACTCCAGCAAGCAACAGCTTCCCTGTGGGAGCAGCTTGTCTTAGAATGGACTTCCTTAGATTGGACTGGAACCTGTCTCCCTGGGAAGTGTGTCCTGTCCTCTTAGCCCTTACCTCCAGGGTTGCACAGGACTCACCTTCTCATCCGAACAGTCCACATCTCTGAAGACCATTGTCTTCCGTTTTCTAGTCGCTAGGTTGCAGGCTTTGGTAAATTTGTTCCATATACTACAGGGCTGGGAGAACAGTTCCCTTCTTGGGCTTGGGTCTTTGTGATGCTCTCCGTTGACAAGGGCTGCGTTCTCCAGGTGTGTCACCCAAATGCAGCACTTTGTTTGAGGTTATACCCATAAAGAATGCACTGGAACAATGTAATTTCTTCCCTTGAACTGGATAGTCTAGAAAAGAAAAGACAAGCATTAACAGAGTTAGTTGAATGCACTCAACTACATACCATACTTCATTTTTAAATTCAGTGTCATACGTCTTCTCATGGCAGTCTTCCTTAACTCCTGTTCTAACTCCTGTGTATTTTTTTCTCCTTAGTAACATACCATTCATTGAGTGTTTCCGATATGCCAAGCACTATTCTAAGCACTCTGCATACATTACCTCTTTTAATCCTCAAAATGGCTCTGTGGGATATGTACTAGTATCATCTTCCTCCCCATTTGATAGAAGAGGAAACAGGCATATAGCAGTTGACCACCTTTCTCCTGCTAGTAAGTGACAAGAGCCAGGATGAAAGCAGAGGTAAATCTGGCTCTGGAGCCCAGCTCTCCACAGCAGTCACCCATTGCTGCCTGTTGAATTTACAGACAATTTAATACACTAAATTTTTTTCAGAGGTGAATGCTTCCTTTTGAAAACCTTTTTGTCCTTATTAACAATTGTGTTATTAATTCTGGATCCTCATTCCATCTATGGTTGCTGTTCTTGACTGTGGATGCTGTCAGTCAACCAGTTAGACTTCCAGACTCCACTCATTTGCAAATTTGTTAAGCCAGATAAGTCATCATTCCTTGGGGACAGCCCTAAGTTTCATCTTTCATCTTCCTACCCTGCTTATTAAAATTTGTGAGGTTTTTTTGTTTTTCCACAGTTCTACTAACTACAGGGTCCTGTCATCTTCAGCAGCTGACCTCTCCTCCTGTTGGTACCGACCACTGGCTCCTTTCACCATTAGGGGACAGATATTCCTTCTTCACTTTCCTCTGGCTCCTTGGAGAAATGCCTCTTTCTGTCTTAAATCATTTTAGCAATTGCCTTTTTCAACACCAGAGTGATATCCTGCTGTGTCTGCTATAGGATAATGGTCCCTGATGGGAAAAAAACCTTCATTCTGGGCAGCTGTTAAATCCATTGTGAAAAGCACACAGACGAGCAGTAGCCTTGACACAATACAATTTCATTAGTTAAAGGTGTGCGCAGCTTTTGGTCTAGTTCTCTTTGGAAGCGCCATCCAAAGGCAAGGCGGTGGCAAGGGTTCATTATGCACATTTTGTAGATGGAAAAATTGTTGCAGAAACAAATGGAGGATATAAAATTCCTGTACTTTCCATCATTCTGCCTCCATTTTTTCACCCAGAATTTTAGTAATCTTTTCACAGAGTGGTGTAAACTGGGCAGGAGGAGAAGGGGGGAAATGTGTGTCAGGAGTATGCCCAGAACTAGCTTACCAGAATTTCAGCAACACCTGAAATTTGTTATTTCTTTTTATTTGTTTTCTAATGACAGTGCAGCCAGGAACAGGCTTACAGACCAGCCCCTGAAGGGTTTACTCTCAAAATCAGGGCTCCCGCAGAGGGAAGATATAAGGCTACATTTATGTGCCTGGTCTTTTTTTTTTTTTAATTCTTTTATTTTGGAATAATTTTAGACTCGCAAGCAGTCACCAAAGTAAAGAATTCCTGTGTACCATTTCCCCTGCTTTGTGCATATTGTAACTATAGGGTGATCTTTCTTTCTTTCTTAAATTATTTATTTATTTTGTGGAAAGAAGTAATTAGGTTTATTTATTTATTTTTATTTTTTAGTGGAGGTACTGGGGATTGAACCCAGGACCTTGTGCATGCTAAGCAGACATTCTACCACTGAGCTATATATCCTCTCCGCTAGGGTGACATCTTTCTAATGTCTTTGCCTGTCAGAGGAAGGTTTAGCTGGCACTCCCTGACCCCAACCAGTATTCATCACCATGAGAATACCATCACTTTTATTGTGCTTACAAAATGCCAACAGGCACTCTGGCTAAGCGCTTTCAGACCCTGCCACAGTCTAATGCGGTGCCACGGTCACTCTCGTCCGCTTCTTAGATATGAAAGAACTGGGCTCCGTGAGACTGTGAGACTCACTCAAGATTATGTGGCACTTGGGCGGCAAGGTCAAGATTTACACCCAAACTGTCAACCAGTCTGTTACGCTGCTTCCCCAGGAGATCTTGCTTGTGTGTTCGGGGCTCCAATTGGTACCGTGAGGCCAGAGCCTCCACAAAGGTAGTATTTAACTTCCTCTGTCACTGCGGGGTGAGTGAGGCCCTGCTCCCGGCCCGTCAGACCCTGTGGGGCAGCTGCAGCTGATAGACAAGGATGCTGGAATGCTGATTAATCCCTTTCTGTCTCGTTTCTGGGCTGCTTATCCCAAGCTCAGTAGCGAGTTTGTAGATGAAGATATCTCGTGGCTCTCACTTTTACTGCCAAGGAGTACAAGACAGAGAATGCTGGCAGACGGCCCGTCTGAGCTGTGGCAGGGCAGGAGGTGTTCAGACCCAGGCTGACACGCCTGAGCACCTTTCAGTGGCATTTTCGCAAATCCCACCCTTGGCGGTAGTCCTGCAGAATCAGTTCTTTCTTCAGGAGGTTTGATTCCAAATCACATCGCTGTGTATCAAATCTCACTGCCATCAGACAGCTTTTTAAATGTCCGTACTGCTGCTGTGAATGCAGCGGGAAAGGAAGGAGGTGGGCAGGGAAAGGTCATGCTAATCTCGGTTGTTACATTTGGTGCCAGGTACAACAGAAACCAAGGGCAGTTAAGCCCAAACGACCTTGGTAACTTGATCTCTCGCATTCCATGTATTCCAGCCAAGGAAATAAACACTGGCGTATAGTGTGGAAGAGATGCTTAACACTTTTATGTTTACGAAGTGCTTTCATATTATCTTGGCCTCATCACACTCTTTACAGTGAGGAAATTGAGCTGCAGGGAGAGTAAACAAGTTGTCTCAGGTTCTCCCCATCGTATTTGGCACAACCAAGACAGGGGCTTGGATCTTGGGGAGGCTCCAGAATGCAGCAAGGACTTCGATGTTTCATGGACCCGGGTTCCAGCCTCAGCTCTGCCACTAAGTAGCTTTTTGGTCATCACCAGGCCTCACTTTCCTCCACTTTTAAATGGGCCTAATCACAGTACCTGCTCCATCAGGTTCTTGTGAGGATAGAGCTTGGCAGAGTACCTAGCACGGGGAGGTAACGGGTGGTAACTATTAGTATTAGTTCAATTCTCCATCCATTAGATAGGAATCTAGCTTCAATTAATAGAACAGTAAAGCAATGTTGACTTATACAAACGAGGGTTATTTTTCTCATACTATAAGAAGTGTGAAGGCAGGAAGTCTTGGGCTGGCCAGCAGCTAAATGGTACTGTCAAAAACTGTTTACCTTCTTTCATACCATCCTGGTCTCCACAGCATATTGATTTGCTGCCTCGTGGTTGCAAGGTGGCTGCTGCAGCTCCATCCACCATGTTTGGGGACAACAGGAATACTCCAGTCATATTTCCCCTTTTGTAAGGAAAGCAAGAACTGTCCCAGAACCCCACTCCCAACCACAGCAGACACTGCTTTTGTCTCCATAGCCTGGACTATGGCTTCGGATTGACTGTAGCTGCAAGGACCCTTGGAAAGTAAGCATTTAACTTTTCAGACTTAATTATTCAAGTGTCAGGGAAGAAGGTGGGTGAGAATGGGAATAGACTGAGCCAACTGTATTTTCTACAGTTCTTCCTGCCTTTCACAATGTCATTAAATTTTTTTTTATTTAATTGGTCCCTAGGTGTAGAGGGCGTGGTTAACCCTAGTCAGGTGCTCATGGCCCACGATCAGCAAAGTCCCCTTTCTCGGCTGATTCCATTTTATTCTCACAAAATGTACTGTTTCATGTGCATCTATTTTTTCTTCACTTTCTAATTGAAATATACATCCACGGTAATGAAATATACATCCGATGTAATGCACTATTTGTCCTCATGAAAGCACCACTCAGCTTAATATACAGAACATTCCCACCATCCCAGAAACCTTCCTTCCTTCTCCTCCACTCCATCAGTACTCCCTCCCAAAGGTAACCGTTACTCCATTCTGTATCCCCATAGGTCTGTTTTGCCTGTTCTTTGATTCATTTAAACGCAATCGTACATTTGTATGTAGTCTTTGGGGTGCGACTTCTTTCACTCACCTGTGAGAGTCCTCTGCTGTTGCGTGTAGTGGTAGTTCCTCTGTCTCCTGCTTTTTTTCTCGGTGCATTGTCTCCCCAAGCAGACATGGAGAAAGGGTATTATGAGCACCAGAAATGGAAGCCACCCCTTTTCCACTTGTGGAGTATCTTTTCCTCGTAAAACCCATCCCCTCTGATTTCTCGCAAAGCTTGCCTGGGCACTGCTCTCTCCAGCACCACGTCTCCTTTAAAAGGAGTCTCTTGGGGACTTGTACGTTTGCCTTGGATGCTGTCAGCATGAAAGAATTTTCCTGAATGCCTCTTCTTTTGGAGATAGGGGAAGAGGAGAGTGAAAGAGGGATGCTTTCTGGAAGGATATTTTTAGTCAAAGGAGAAAAGCACTGACCAAAGTCATCATTAGGAACTTGAGTCTGGAAGCCAGCTTTTGGAGCAGAGATTTTAGGTTGCTTTCCTGTGTTCCTCTCCTGCTAACAGTCTCCATTCAGAGCTCAAGGGCACAAGAAACTCACAGCAACTCTGTCCCTCTTGGGGCTGGGGAACCTGGTTTGAATTTAGTCTGACACTGGGAAGTCTTCCTACCCCCAAGGCTGTGGGTGGTGGACTGTGCTATCAAAGCCAGCATGGCTTTCTTTATAAAAACACTCAACTCCAGGACAACTTGAGAGCAGGAATAAAGCTCATGCTTTTCAATGGAGTCTTAAATGAAGATGAAAGGGACTAGTTATTCCTGCAAGTATGGTCACGTAGGTAAGTCAGGGATCAACTAGAAAAATTCAGACTATGCAGTTGGTTCTAATGGTTGGCTGCCGTTGTCCCTCCTTTGGGGGTCTGCTGGTTCTGTGCCTTGTGTCTGCTGGGACAGTGTGCTGGAAGAGTCAGCAGAGACTTAATCAGGAGCTCTTTGCTTGGCAGCTAGAGCAGATTGCAAGGGGGCTGATTTGGTCCTCCTCAGGAGCTTCTGTTCAGTCCAGCACCCTTACATGTTTTGTCTGTGGGCATTTAGGACTAAGTGGATGAACCCCTGAAATCCATTGCCTCTAACATCAGATGAACAACCTTGAATTTTGCAATATTTATTGCTAACAACTTTAGAAAATGTTACTAAGTTTATTGAGGAATTTCTACATCCCCAGCCTTCACGGGAGGCTTTGAGGGTATAATTTCAATTATTCCCCACAGGACCTGGGGAGATAGGTAAGGTTATGCCCATTTTGCAGGTGAGTAAATTGAGGATTAGAGAATTTTAATAACCTGCTAGTAAGTAACAGGTAGTAAGTAGTAGGGCTGAGATTGAACACTAGGTCTCCCAGATTCCAAAGGCTGTGTAACACCAGCTACCTTTTAAAGATAACCTGTCGCCTGTCCATGTCAGCCCTCTTGTCAGCCCTTGCCTTCCCCTCACCCCAGCACATGCTCTTCAGTGTTTGTCCAATCAGTGACTGGGTTTTGAACAGCTGAAATCTGCAAGTAGCTTGTCACTTATTTTGATCTTAGCTAGTCGTTGAAGTGTCACTGTAACATGATTATATTTTATTAAAGGAATTTTTAAAAACATTTATAACCATAGAGCATAGTGGAGAACATTCTGATAGACAATAAGGAGGCGTTGGTTTCAACTTTAATGTCCCCATGAATCAAAACAAGCTGTGAGACCTTGAATACAGACTTAATTTCTGTGTGCCTGTTGCCCTCATTTGTGAAACGAGGACGTTGAAGTATGTGATTACTGATGTCTCTACCTGTTGCAAAAACATGGGCCTCTGTGACTTTTTCGGTTTTGTTTTTGTGATTCTGAAATGGCTTCAGAGTACAAATATTTCTTAAAGGAGCCTTAATTACTAAATGCAAATCAAGAGAAATGGATAACATTGGGGCTTTCAGAATTTTTGGAAAAGATGTAAGTTCTTTACTCTTCCAAGTAAAGCTGCATTTTCCATTGCACTTCCCAATCCATCATTCTCACCAAAAGAAAAGTGTATAGTTTCTTTAATAATTTCACATTGGAGCTTAGATTCCTTGCGGGTCTGGCAAGCTTTAATCCTGGATGTAAAATATTGCCAACGGCCAACCTCAGGTTGCCAACCTAAATATAAATCTCTCCTTGTTCAGTGTATGAATGTATAATGTAAACTGTTTTATTAAATTATACCTGGTACTACTAAATAGAATTAAAATGCTGTTGAGCAACTCTGAAAGTAAGAAATAAGACGATATTATGGTCCAATTAGTTAAGAAGATGCTGAAAGAAAATTTTATTGCATCCTTTTAGACCTAATAAAGAGAAAACGGGCCACGTGAGTGACTCAGGATCATCTGTCATCAAACATGGGCTCAATCCGGAGAAGGTCTTCATGCAGGTTCATTACCTGAAGGTAAGCACACCTGAGTGGCAGAAGGCAGTTACCACGATGCAGCACTTTTTAGCTTTTACGTGTAAAAATAGTGAAGGTGAGTAACGAGGTTGGGGCCAAACGAAAAACCCGTCAACATTGTAGTGACATTTGACTTAGATACCTGACTGTCCAATCATTAAAGCATTTCGTACCCAAAAAATGAGGCATGAGTCAAAGGAAGCTGAACGATTCCCCTCGGTACCTCCCGTCTCCCTGCTTCACGTCAGCTTTGAAGGGCAGAATCTTAAAACTGCTGTCAGGTTCCAACGGGAAGACGGGAGTAATAAGGAAGTATTTTAGGCTGTAAAGGCCTTTCCTGACAGCTGAGGGGGAGAGGAGCTGGACCGCTCTTCCCTTGTGGTCCGAGATGGACATCGGGCTTCACGTAAACCAGGGAACGACAAGCTGGTGAGACCATTGACAGGTGGGTTGAAAGCAAAGCAGCTGATCCTGAAGTTCCAGACCCAGCCTTACTACCAAGAATGTAAAGGGCTGCCTGGGACGAGTCAGGTAGAGCATCCTAGATGTGCATAAAGCTCTGGTGGGTAAGTTAGTGTTGGCTTTGTGAGCATTTTTCTGATGAACCCACAATAGGCATCTCTTTAAATTCTTCTTCCTTTCTTCAGGGCTACTTCCTTCTCCGGTTCCTCGCCCAGAGACTTGGAGATGACACCTATTTTTCATTTTTAAGAAAGTTTGTGCACACATATCACGGGCAGCTGATTCTTTCCCAGGTAATTTATGAGTCCTCACGAGTCCATGATATACACCTGGAGGGGGTGTGGCATGTGGCGGCTAGATTATGTGAGTGTGAAAGAGGAGGGGAAAGATTTACGGTTTAATACGATAGGAAAAATAGGAAGTTAATGGAGTGGACACAAGGCAGTGTTGTTTTTGGGAGGGCAATCTCCCTGTGGTTTAGGACAGACTGTAACCCAGAGCTGTCCTGTGCGCAGTGATGTGGGGAGTTGCGCCTTAAGGGGCCTTGAAAACAAAAACAAAACAGTCGTGCTGTCCCCTCTGCCTGGAATGAGCTTTGCAAGGCTGGCTCCTCCTCATCCTTGGTCTCAGCTTCAGTGCTTCCATCTCGGAGACACTCCAGCTAAAGAGATGTGCATCCACCCTCTTCTCCTCCGTCCTTTGCGCTTTTAGTTACCTTCATTGCTGTCACCACCGTTTTAATTACGTTTTCCTTTATGGGTCCATTTGTTTCTTTTCTGTCTCTTCCATTTTGTGGATACGCTCAGCAGGGCTAGACCACGCTCTCTGTTTCACCAGTATTTAGTAATGATTCACACGCCGTGCACCCACCGTATGTATTTGATAAACAAATAGATTAAAGACAAGATACACTGAAGTAGTCAGACAGCCTGGCCACAGAAGTGCCGGAGGAAGACTCTGTTTACACGGGTGTGGGGCCGAGCTGCACTCAGTGAGAAAGTTAACAGAGAGGTGGAGGCTCTGAAAACAGTGCTCGTAGCTGATGGAGAATAAAGGATGTGCTGTCTCAGCACAGAATGGACGGATGTGTGTTTTTGATATTAGACTCTTGTGCTCATACGCAGTTTTAAAGTCGCATTGTCCACGACGTTCAGCGTACAGGATGTGCGTGTATGATCTGAGCACGTATGCAGGGAATAGCGTGCGTGTAACAAGACTGGATGGCCATTATTCCTCATCTCCACGTTCTTTTTATTCTTTCACTTGAGGGGAGAGGAGGTCTTCCTAAACAGTGTTTGGAAGGGCAGCTTGAAAGCTGGCTCAGGAGTCTTCTAGGACTGGCTGGCTGAACAGCCCAAATGCCTATGGCTAAAAACCACTTCTCACCAATATACTGTAGCGTTAAAGGAGCTCGTTGCGTTTCCCGTGAGTTCTGAGGTTCTGCTGTCAACTTCCCATGGAACACTCCGTGCTCCCTCCTCCAGATCATTCCATTTTCCTTCTGTTTACTTCTTTTGAATTACAGTTTTGTTGTTTTTCGAAAAAACAGCTTTATTAAGGTATAACTCACATACCATGAAATTCGCCCTTTTCAAGTGTACAAGTCAGTGGTTTTGGGTGTATTCCCGAAGTTGGGCAACCATCACCACTCTAATTCCAGAACATTTTCATCACCCCCAGAAGAAACCCCAAATCCATTAGCAGTCACTGCCTCATATCCACCTCCCCTCAGTCGTAGGCAACCACTAACCCACTTTCTGTCTCTACGCATTTGCCTATT